GCTCCTGTTGCTGCTGGTGCCGCCGCGCCAACTTCTTCATCTGCAGAAGACACAGTTCGTGCCAGTCCCCATCCCGTGCCTCTCCCCCGGCCCCCATTCACTCCCTCCCCCACCCACATCAGGCCCTCTGTCTTCTGCCTGTCTCCCCTACTCCGCAACCATCCAGTGGGGGTGGCAGGTGTCCTCTCACCTTTGCTCTTTGGTTCTGAAACCAGACCTGGACCACACGCACGCTGAGGCCCGTCTCTGCTGCGAGCGTCTCTCGGACCTGCCAGGGGAGAGGAAGCCAGGTCAGGCCCCTGGGGAGGGGACATAGCGGCTAGGATTTGGGGGAATTGACGGATGGGTGGGGAGGTGGAGGGATGTCCCCATCCCCAGCAAGAGTGGAAGGGGTGGTGTGCGGAAAGGCAGTGGCTGTGGGCCAGCCCCCCGCCCACTCTGGCAGCCCCTCACCTTTCGGCAGGGCTTGGAGGAGACCTCGAAGGAGGCCTTGAAGGCTCTTCGCTGCTGCGTCGTGAGGATGGTCCGGGGTCTCTTGGGCCTCCGCGGGTCCTTCCCATCGTCCCCACTTCCCTTGTTCTGGCCGCCCTGCCCCTTGGCCGGCTTCATGTCCCCATCCTCGTCCTCACTCTTCACTGTGGGGGACACAACCCGGCCTGTCAGCCTTGTATCCTTAGGCAATCTGCTGCCCGATAGGATCTTACCACCTCCCACCAACGCCTGCCACGGCTGGCCTTTGGTACCCTGGAGACCCCAGCCCAGAATGACAACCTTCGAGAAAACCAGTTCCCACTGCACTAGCCCAGGGCCAGCTGGGCCCCAGGGCCTTCTTCATGGAAGCTTCCAGGGACTATGAATCAACAAGATCACACTCCAGACATTCTCATACAGTAGTACTCATGACCACGACAGACACACACACACATGCCGCACACACACAGATGCACACTCACCCACCGGCACTCACACATGCAGACTGGCACGTGGACCCACCAAAGCCTGAGCACATGCAGCTCACAGGCATATTCACACACACAGGCGCGCGCTCACAGGCAGGGACGCCCAGGCATGCACACACTCAATAGGCACACACACACACACATGTGCACGCAGAAGCACCCAGAGACACACCCACACATGTCATGGACAGCTGTTCACTTCCATGCCCCAGAGTTGTAGGTCTCGGAGATGCCAGCCCCAGATGGACAGAAGTGCCTCCCCCAGCCACCTGCTCCTGCTGCCTCTGCATCTGAACTGGTCTCCTCCCTCCGAGCCCCTCTCTAGGCCTGGTATGGATGGGCCAGTGGCACCTGGTCAGCCTCAGCTCTCCCACAGGAGTCCAGGCAGCCACTGCCCAGGAATGGAAGGAGGGACACATGGATGGGAGCTCACTACCTCCACCACGGGCCCCGGCAGTAACAAAACCCTTCCACTGGACAGATGCAGTGGCCACAGGCTGTAGGCTCTCCCAAGGGCCCAGCACGGGCTAGGCCAGCGGTTCTCAACCTGTGGGCCATGACCCCTTTGGGGGTCGAACGACCCTTTCACAGGGGTCGCCTAAGACCATCGGAAAACAAAAAGATATTCACATTACGATTCATAACAGTAGCAAAATGACAGTTATAGAGTAGCAACGAAAATAATTGTATGGTTGGGGGTCACCCCAACATGAGGAACTGTATGAAGGGGTCGCGGCATTAGGAAGGTTGAGAACCGCTGGGCTAGGCCATCTCCTCTCCACGCTCCCTACTCAGTCCTTCCTCACTACCCCCAGGAATGACAAGGTGCCGGCCGTCTCCCTGGCTTCTCCTGCCTTAAGACTCAGGCTTGGCTGGCCCTGCCCTTCCTGCCAGGAGAGCTCCAAACTGGCATAGTTCTTTGGGGGTCTGAGCAGAGTAAAGAGGCACCTTCACCCTGGGAAATGGGGTCTTTCCCTCCACCACAGAGGGCCTCAGGCCACCCAGCTGGGAAACAGCAGCTCAAGGCTGCTGCTCCCCACTGCTGCAGGCTTTGGGAGGCCAAAGGCAAGGCGACGCATCAGGTCCCTGCTCTCAGATATCAGCAGCCTACAGGCCTGGTGCTGGTGGAGACCCCATGGTGCTGTGCCAGGGTGGCGGCCAAGGCAAGGATAAGAGAAGGTGAGGGTGGTGAGGGAGGGTGGTGGGCCCGAGGGCTGGCTGTGTGTGTGCCCATGTCAAACCACAGTACATGTGAGCATGTGGGAAGTGTGTGTACGAGTATAGCCATATGCATCAATGCTTCCTGCGTGTGTGTGCACACCTGGGTGTGAGTTTTTGCCTGCTTGGGCATGTGAGCACATCTGCACATGTCCGTGTGCCACACTCCTGGGCATGGGGACGCACAGGTGCATTTTCTGTGCTTGTGTGTGTGCATTTGTGATCACACGCACGTACACACATGCACAGGTATGTGTGGCAGCGTCCGCAGGTGCATCTGTGTGCTTGTGGGGGTGTGCGCACCTGAGTCTCCATGTGCCGCTGCACATGTGCACATGTGTATGTGAACGCATCAGTGCACATGCGCATACGGGTGTGGGTGCGCTGTCTGTGTGCAGCCCCGGTCCTGGGGTCATGAGCATGCATCTTTAGCAGGTTCGCCCCACCACAGCACCCTGCCCAGCTGGCCGCCCTCCGGCCGCCCGACCCCCAGCTCCAGCCGGGCTCACCGGAGTCTGACTCGTCGGGGCTCACGGAGCTGAGCAGGTCCTTCTCCTTCTCGTAGTCGCCCTTGCACAGCAGCTGGCCCTCCTTGAGCACAAACTCGTCGCCCTTGCGTAGCTGCCGCTCACACACGCAGCAGCAGAAGCAGCCCAGGTGGTACACGCATTCCAGCGCCCGCATCACAAACTCGGTGGGGGCGATCTTCTCCATGCAGCCGCTGCACTTGGCCGCGAAGAGCCTGCAGGTGCACAGAGTGGGCGTGTTAGCTGGGCTCAGGGGTCCCTCCCAGAGGCCACTGCCCAGCGAGAGCCTCTCCCTCCTGCCACCCTGACCCTCCAGCCCAAGCGGGAGAGGCCCTCCCTGGGCACAGAGCCAGACAGGGGAGGGTCCTGTAGCCCTACTCTTCCAGCTCACAGGACCTGGTGGCCTCGGTGGGCTCTGGGCATCCTGCCCAGAGATGCCCTCTTCTTGGGTGTGTCAGCTCAGGGTCCTTCCGCTCAGAGACACAGTGGCCACTAGAGGGCAGAGTGCAGGGTCAACCTCAACCTTCCCCCCAGAACTACTGGGTTGTCGAAAAAGTCATGACCTATTTTTTCTATGTGTTTCGTTGCAAAAATGCTTCATAGCTTTTCTGACAACCCAATAGGTCAGGCCCCTGCCCTGAGGGGAAGGGCAAACAGCCCACAGTTGCATTCACCCTCATTCCAAGACCCCCTCTGCCTACTCCCTGTCCCTCTCCACCCTGTTCAACCTACCACCCCGCCTGGGCCCCTCCGCTCCTGCCTGACTGGCTGCCCCAGTCCCTCCCTGGGCTCCCGGCCCCTCCAACCATTCCACTCGACCTCCAGGAAGACAGCCAGAGAGATCTGTCTACAACACACACCCCATCATGCTGCTTCCCTGTTTCAGACTCTTCCATGGCTCCCTAGTGCCCCTGGGACAACATCCAAGTTCCTGAGTCTGGCACTCAAGGCCCTCCACGATCCTGCCTCTTCTCTCACCCACTCTTCCCCCAGGCTGTACCCCACGGATCAGCCTGCACTTTCTCCAGAGCATCATCACTTTGGCCTTTTCACACCGTCTTTCTGTGGCCCTGGGCTTGGCTGACACCTATTTCTCCCTTGTTTCAGCTGAGGCATCTCCACCATGAGGAGATGTGTTGACTGAGCACGTGCAGCATGCCAGCCACGGTCTCCAGCACTCGGCTGCAGAAACACATTTAACCCCTGCAACAAACAACCCTATGAGGCAGGAATGAATATTAATCCCACTTTAGAGATGAGGACATTGAGGTGCTGAGAGGTGGAGTCACATGGGTAGTAAACGGAGCTGACGCTGAGCCTGGACCTCATCCAGTCCCTCCACGACAAAGTGGATCCATTTTCCCTGTCTGGAGACAAAGCCCGGTGGGGGCTCTGTGCCGTCAGCCAGTGTGCACAGAAGGTTCTGAGCAGCATAGCCCCCCCTCTGCCTACACTACTGTCCGATCCTCCGGATCCCCCATCCCCGTCACGTGCCTTGCTCTGTGGGAACTCAGCCTCAACAACACTTTGATGGAAAAAATTATGAAGAATCAAATTATTGCTGCTGGGAGGGAATTAAAACCATTTTTCATTCCCCGCGTTCCCGGGCCACGTCTGCGGGCGCCACCTTGGGAGCGCTGTACACATCCCATCCCTCTTTATGGCCCGCCATCACAGGCACAGATTACAGCTGCAATTCTCCACTAATCGGTTCGGGAACAGAAACAGCCATAAATGCGAGGCATTCGGCCTGCCTCCCTTCCCGGGGCTGCCATCAGCACCGCCCACGGCTAGCTGGTGGGGTGCGGTGGACCGGACCAATCCGAGTTCTGCCTAGTACCCTGGCACAGGCCAGAGCACTCAAATTGGGGGCATCCCCAGCAACCTCTGCAGCCCAACTCTGTTCTACCCAGCAGGCTCCTATTTATCCTTTGATGCCCAACTCCAATGCCACTTCCTCTGGGAAGCCTTCTTTGATGACCCAGTCGGGGGCAGGTGGCCTTCTTTATGCTCAGCTGACTTTCTCTGGCCTTGATTCCTTCTACTATAAAGTGGGGGGTGCCAAGAGGATCTCCCTCAAAGGGCTGTTGTCAGGATTCAGTGATACTGCACATGGAACTTGTTGAGTGGGGATCACATTGGAGTGACAGGAAGTGCCCCTCTCAGCTCCCAATCTATATGGATTCCACAAGGCAGGATCTCACTCCACCTGGTCCTCAGTGGGTGTGAAGCAGGTGAGTGAGGTTTAGGGGTGGGCTGAGGCTCAGGCCAGGCTGTCTGTTCCAGGCTATTAGCCCACACCATGTATGACTTTGCAAGGGGAACCTGAGCTGGATGTTGCTCCAATGTGGCCCTTTGGCTAGATACCTTTGTTCAAGGTATGACCTACCCAACTGTCCATGGCAGCCTCAGGCAGAGTCCTCCCCATCCACCTCTGCCAAGGGGCTAGGGAAGGAGCCAGGTTTGCAGAACCCACGCCCTTCTCCCCTCACTGCCCCTCTGCCTCCTTCCCAGGCTCTACCTCCTGGCCGCGGGGGGGCCCCCTGAGATCTGCAGGCTGGGCTCTGTGGCCCATGAGTGGACAGGCACTGGCCACATCTCTGTGCCAGCATGGCAGGGCCATGGTCTCAGGGGTCAGCGCACCTTGGGTGGCTCCCCAGAGGAGGTCTTCTTAGGCTGGGGGAGGGCAGCAGGGCGGGTGACCCGCATTTGCAGGCACTGCCACTGTGCAGGCTGCATTCAGAACAGCCGTGCTAATGCCTTGGCAGCAGGGGGTCGATTGCTACTTTCTCCAAACTCATCAACACAATCTATTATTAATACTTCTCCAAAGGCTCAGTGCCGCCATTACGGAGGCAGCGCCAGTCACTCGGGGCATCATCTGTTATCTAGATTGCAAAAACTCGGGAAATAAAACAAACCGCGCACACTTTATAAACGGAATGTGCCATCCCTTTGGTCTCTGAGCTTCTCTCCTCCCAATAAAACATCAGGGGGGACGCATGAAATACTCGCTCCCAATTATGGGGTGCCTTTGTCTACCGTGCAGGGGTGAGAGCTGCTAACGGTGTGTGTGGGAGGGGTTGGGGCGCCTGCAGCGGGTCGCTCCTTTCTGTGAGCCCCACTCCCTCTCTCAGTCCCTCCCACCATGGAGGGCTTAGAGGAAGCAGCCATGGAGAAGCAGGCCCAGCCACAGGCGGGCGGCATTGGCACCAGATGGACTCAGGTTCGACGCCTGACGCTGCACTTCTGGCTGATGACCGGGCAGGTAATTGCCTCCCTCTGAGCCTCAGCTTACTTGTCTGTATAATGGGCTCAACAGCGCTGCCTACTTCTCAGTGTGAAGATGCAGTGAGTTGTCGGTATAAAAAGCTGAGCGCAGAGGGCGTGGTCAGTGGGCTGGGGCAGGTTTTATAGGCCCAGGAGCAAGCCTTTCCAGGAATGCTGCAAATACTGACCAGAGAGGCAGAACTGCACCAAGGGCTGGGGTGAAAGGCTCTGAGCCTTGCTGCCTCCTTCCGCTCCTGCCCCCAGTGGCTCTGGAGCCTGGTGTGATAGGCCCTGAACAGCACCACAGGCACTGGATTTGGAGCCCAGGTCCTGATCTCAACCCTCACTCGGCCACTCACTGACTTTGTGGCCTTGGGCAAGTCAGAGTCTCAGTGGCCTCATCCGCAAGATGGGGACAATAGTCGCCATTCCCCAGAACGGTGCTGGGGATTCCAGGTGTGTGTGCCGCCGCTGCCCACATGGAGGCTGGGAGGTGGGGATGGGGCGGGCCTCGGGGTCAGGGCATGGTGGGATGCCATGGAGAGGCCCTGGCTTCTCTGCTAGCCGCCTGCCCTCTTGGTGCCAATCGCCCCCGCCCCACTCTTCCCCCAGCCCAGAAACTCCTAATCCAGAGGGAGGCTCTGTGACCACATTACAGGCATGTAGGCTTGCTGGTAACCCACACAACCCTACTCCCCCATTTTTCATGTAAACTGCCAAGCCTTTCCTCACGCTCTGCTGCCGCCGAGATCACCATCCCCCCCACTCCCCACCTCTGCCCTGAAATACTCGCTGATTTGGAAGGAGCTGGCTTGGGCATCCCTTCCTCCAGGAAGCCCCATTCTCTCCAGTCTTAAATAGAAGCCTTGCTCTCTGAGTTCCCTATCCTCACGCACACACCCCTCCCCCGCCTCCTCACTGTAGCACTTTACTAAGGACTCCACTTTCTGTGTTTCCAGGTCCATCTTCTCCTTGGTCATCTCTGTATCTTCAGTGTTGAGCACGAGTACACACACACACACACACACACACACACACACACACCAAGTTGAGCAATAAATGTTTGTTGAATGAATACTAAACCAACCAATACTGTCCTGTTCTGCCTGAAGCAGGGCAAGGCAGTCCCCACCCCAACCTCGTCTGGTGGGAGCCCTGTCCATCTGCCCTGGGGAGACAGTGCCGCCTGGGAGGGGAGCAGTATGTGTGGAACCATGGGAGGGGTGGGGAGCTGGAGCAGGCAGCCTGGGGTTCCATCCTGGCTCCATAACTTTTTCACTGTATGACTTTGGTCAGGACATTTAACATCTCTGAGTCTCAATTTCTTTATCTGTAAAATGGGATTGACGGTACCTGCCGCTGGGGTTGTCGGGAGGCCCAGCACAGTGCCAAGGGCGCATCGCAAGAGCTGGCGTCTGCCCTTCTCTTGTCCCACGTGCCTTTGTCCATCACCCTCGCTGGCGTCTCCTACATTCCTGGGAGCAGCTACCCTGACACTGGGTTCACGGGTCCCAACCATGCCTCCTTCTCCGACCACCCTGGGTTCTAGATCGGTCCTTCTTGCTTCTGTCTGGTCTGAGCTGGACAGAGCACTCCCGGCTCAATCCTCTGTTTGTCTCATTAACATTACTGAGCACAGAGAAACCTCAGTTATCAGCTACCTGCATCACCTCGTTAAACCCTGAACCCTAAAAGGAAGACACTGTTTTCCCCTATTTTATAGATGAGCACACCAAGGTGCAGAGGGTGGGTTACTTGCTCAAGGTCACGGCAGCATCGCCCTTCACGTCCTCCCTGCTCTGTGTATCCACGTGTCAATAACCTGCCTTGTACTTGGAGTACCACGCACATGTCTGTCTGCCTTCAAGGCTCCGAACATCCTAGGGCAGGCGCTTGATTCACCCTGAGTTCTCATTACTCAGCATAAGCCCGGTACCCAGTAGGT